TATGTATATATGTGTGTATATAGATATAATTTATTTTATTTTTTACACATTTTTTAATTTATAACTTTGTGACACTATCTATTTCGTGTAGTTTTATTTCTTTTCAATATTGTACATTGACGTTTTCCTCTTTTTCATTTGTACTTCTGCTGTGTGTGTGTGGTTATACAAATCAATCTGAGTAAATGAAGAGATGATTATCATTATTATTATGAGGTAATAAGGTAAGTGTCTTATTCCAAAACTTCGAAGTCTACCATTGAAGATGATAGTGTTCCCTGTAAGTGAAATTTTATATTGTATCACTTTGTTCTATCAGGTTTACCACAAGGAAGCCACCTAGGGCCATTTGTAACCGATTTGGGTGTAGTGATGGACAAGAAAAAAAGGACTTCCATCTACATTATAATTATATTTAGTGTCCGACCGAAAGTTCGGTTTCAGTCGAGTTTCGGCAAAATAACGGGTTTCGGTTGCGAACCTGCGAAACTACGACCGAAACCGAAACTGCATTCGGGAATACTCGCGTTGTGACATACAAGCGACAAAGACGTTTTGCCATTTCCACGTGCCTAATCATGTTGTGACTTACTTAGTGATTTACTTTGTTTATTACATAAATATTAAGTACCTATAGTGATATTAGGTAACAACTTAAATAAGTAATTTTATGTTTAATATTTTTGAAAAACCATCAATATTCAAAAAAATAATCTACACCTACTCAAATAAACACCTCATCTATTTTAAGTATTTTTGAAGTGCAATTAATATTTTTTTTAAATAAGGGGTTGTTATGTTGATTTGTTGATTATCAATAAGTAAAAATGTGGAAGACTGCATAACGTTGTGATTTAAAGATAAAAAAATTAAGACTGACTGATTATAATAACGTTTTCTTTATGTTTCCCTCATAACANACTGGGTTGTCCAAACTATGTAGTACATACAATTAGGAATCTGCTAATTGACAGAAAACTGAGAGTTAAAATACTGAGTAGTTTTTCAAATGAATTTATCCCAGAACAGGGAGTTCCACAGGGTTCACCGCTCTCACCATTGTTATATAACTTATACAGCTCTGATATTTATCATCACCAACAAAAGAATATCAACCACTTCAGGCGTGAAGCATATATTCTCCAGTATGCAGATGACACCGCTCCAATTGCACACGATCAAACGCTAGACAAAGTTATTAACAATTTGGAACATCTTGCAACAATAACAAATAACTGGTTCAATAAATGGAGGCTCCAGCCAAACCCATCTGAGTCTCAGTTCATCATATTTAATCATCGGAATTCCGCAACTCCTCCAACAATCAACGTTTTCCAACATATCTTACATACCAAATCGACAGTTGATTACCTAGGTGTTGCTCTTGATTCCAGATTAAATTTCAACAGCCACGTCAATGACAAGAAAAAAAAGAAAGTAATTGCAAGAGCCGCATATTTCACAAGTTTGACAATTCCGGGAGCAGGTGCAAACATATCAACAGGAAGCCGAATATATAAACTAATCTGTCTTCCACTTATTGAATACTCGCACCCACTGTTTCTCAATATCAAAGGGCCTTGAAAACAGTTAAAGTATCGGAAACAACGGCTATAAGGAAAATAACCAGATTAAGGCATCCCAATAACCCCAAACACAACCCTCCAAACCCTCTGCTGTACCAACTCACTGGTATTATCCCTATCGAGGAAAGACTACCGTCACTTACTCAGAAGTTTGCTAGAAATGACAATTTAGAAATCATCACAAAGTATGCTGTGACTAGAAACCCCCATGCAAGAGTACGACATTGACACCCAACAGAAACACTGTTAGAAAAATTAACACAACTTTATCAATGAAATTGTTTTGTTTGTTCATTTTTATATCCATATATATATTTTTCATATTGTAGAATAAGCTATGTTATTTGAAAGCAATTTTGTTACACAAGCGGAAGGACTTCGGTCGATAACCATTTGAACAAAATTGTAATTTTGTTCAATAAATTACAATTATTATTATTATTATTATTACTATGTCGTAATCCTATGAATAATATCTAATGCAGTTTTGGAGAGAGTTTGTATCTGAAAGTAACTTTTCTGCATGATCTACCATCTTTGTTGAGTTTATTTTTTTCAACTCAATTACTATCTTCCTTCTTTCGAAAGGTTCTCACATTATTGATGATGATGTGATGTGACGACAAGTATTCCTGCTATCACAAAAAGTATTTTCTGACAGCATCTATGCCAAATGCACAAATACTAGTTATGTTCGGTACATGTAAATAGACACCGGAGAGTGGTTATCAGAACTTTGATTATTATAACAAAGGATGTTATAGGCTCGTGTAAATGTGTTCGATTGCTTCGCAAAGGTCTGAAGATGCCAAGGAAAATTTTTTGTTATGATTTATTTCTTGTCGAATATGTGTAATGATTTTGCGAAAGCCTATAATTATCTAAACAACTCCTCTCGACATTTTCAAAATGGTTGAAACATTTGATATTTTCTTTAAAAAAAGATTTAAAATATAAAGCAAGGTAGAAACTAACCAACAGTCCGCGGCACGCGCGTTTGTCTGACTTGGTTCGAGATGAATTTGAAGTAAGTAGCGAATGCCACAAAGACTATTAAAGAAATTATCGCGGCTGTTCCAATGTTTTGACAGCCGCGACAATGTTATAGAACAGTGCTTTCAAAAAATTGTTCTACAGCGCCATCTAGTGGCAAATTCCAGAAAAATTGATAGCCTAAAAACCTTCTCTATGAAAAATTACTTATACATGTCAAGTTTCATCACGATCGGTTGAGCGATGTAGAAGTTTATCACTTACCAACCAACCAACCAACAAACATCCATTTTTATATATTAGATAAAGTGCATAAGTTACAAAAAAAACTAGTTAAAATCAAGTGTTAATATTAAGATTAAACATAGATACATACAAGTGAGGCTATTAGTTTAGGTTGGATTTATGACTGCTCAGCGAGTATACGTCATCAAGCCCCCGTTTATCACACAAGTTTCATATTCCTCTAGTGAGTAGAAAGCGTCCGTCAAGAAGAGTTTAATAGTAAATTCAAACGTATACATGGTTACATTTTTTAACTTATATGGTAGCACATTATATAGTTTGTAGTTGAGTGAGTTTTTGGAAGATTTAGCAAGTCTATATCTAGGTACTCTGATTTTATTGGCCCCGCGGGTATTGTGTTTGTGGACAGCGGATTGCAGAGCGAATAGCAAGTGAATAGAGAGACAGCACAGTGAAATATTTGTGTTAGTCGAGTGTTATGAAATTCTGGTGCTAGCATTTCCATCATCTTTTTGTATCATTGTGCCTCTATTTGATGAATAATATTTGAATCCGTTAACAAAACAAAGCGGTAAATACTCACTTCTTAGTAACTGCTGATGTATAGCTTGCATAGTTGCCGCGTTCTGTTGCTGCGTATATTTTTCCTGTGCGCAGGAAGATGAGTGGCTGGAGCTGTGCGAGCTTCGAGGAGGAGGGGGCGTCGGTTGCGGCGGCGGGGGGGCAGGAGCGGCCGGCGAAATCATTTTTATATATCAGACAGTAGAAGTCCGAACTAGTGAAATTCATCATGAAACATTGTCAATCACCTTCAAACAAAAGATTGAAACTGTTATCACAAAGAATACTTATAGCTTGATTATAACAAATAATGCCCTTTTCAAACATCAACTCAAATGTGCTTTAATTGTATAATAAAGCCGATCTTGGATTCTTCTCATGGAACAGAGCAAAATTCTAGTTAGCTTCACACTTACTCAGATAATAAATGTCAATAGACTCACTTATTGCACATCCACTCATTCATTATTGCCATTCTACTATATTGCTTGAATCTGTTCATTTCTACTTGCAAGTTAATTTTGTATGAATAAGTTAATGTTATTTATACTGTACTCAACAACAAATAGTGAAAATCAATTTGGCTTCCAGAATAATAAAAATACGCACGATGCTATTTTGTCATTTCTGAATAAAGTTTATTCCGAGATGAATGTCGGTGAAAAGACTGCCGCAGTATTTTGTGACCTGTCAAAGGCATTCAACTTCGTTGATCACAAAATATTGCTGAGAAAGCTCCAATATGCAATATGGATGCATAGGAGTAACTCACAAATGGTTCGATTCCTACTTAATGGGACGGACACAAATGGTCAAACTCAACTTTCAAAAAAAAGGGAAATTAATTCTGGAGTTCCACAAAGTTCTGTATTAGGTCCCATTCTTTTCTTATTATATATTAATGACCTCACAAAGCTTAATATTTCTGGGAAGTTCACCTTATTTGCAGATGACACTACCATACATTGGAATAATAAAAACACTTGTGAGTTGCACAAAATAATCTCTGCCGACTTGAAAAAAGTTAAAGTATGGTGTGATTCAAACATTTTATCTTATAACTTAACTAAAACAAATTTATTATCATTTAGATGCTCAATCAACGAACTTTTTTTTGAAGACAGATCACTGGAATCTAAAAATAACACTAAATTTCTAGGAGTCTTCTTTGACCAGAATTTAAAGTTTGTGGATCACATTAAACAACTCACTAGAAAAGTCTCCTCTGGCTGTTATGCGGTTAGAGTGATTTATAAAAAATTGGGGTTCAGCACTGCAAAGATGGCGTACTTTGCACTCATAGATTCTCACTTACGCTACGGAATACCATTTTGGGGAACATGCACTCCAACTTTATTCAAAAGTCTACTAATTTTACAGAAAAGGGCAATAAGGTATATAGGAAACCTTAAACCAAGAGACTCCTGTAAAACCTTCTTCAAAAAACATAAAATTCAACGGCAACTGCATTATTTATACTGGAATCTGTGTTTAATAAATAAGCATATATTAAATTTTGCTGCACCCTCTTCCCATTTTAACACCCAAAACCGCAGACACACTCTGAAACTCACTGTGCCAACTGAAAACATTACCAGAAACTCCATATTTTACAACGGTGGAAAAATGTACAATCATTTGCCTATGGACATTAGATCTGCCAATATAAATGACTTCCAATTCAGGAAGTTAGTCAAACAATTTCTATCTGATAGACCCTATTATACTTTGGATGAATATTTTAACGATAGCTTATGCATATTTTTTATCTTTACTTTATTAAAGAGCTCTTAAGTTGTTACTTTTTATGTCTACTCTTTTATAAAATTGACTTTTACTCTTTTATATATACATATCTTTTATATCCTCCATTTTAACATAGTTTGTACCCATGCATCATTTATATTTTTATTTTAATTTCAGTTGGTATGTATTGCATTTTTTCAAGTATGTACTACCCAAGCTTTGTCTACAAGATTATGTCTTATGATAATAAAGCATATTATTATTATTATTATAATTTGTAATCGGGCATTTAATAAATTAAATAAGTGAATTAATGGATTAAAGGAATAAATAATGACCGTACTCACTTGTGCGAGTCGCTGCTCTATTTCTTGCTCCTGTTGCAGCGCTTTGACAAAAGCAGTCTTCAACCTATTTGTGTGTTCGGCCTTCAAGGCTTTCTTGACGTTGTTGGTCACACATTGTTCACAAATGACTGATTTGATGCCTGTAAATGATAGAAAACTTCATTTGCATTCACAATTTTTATTTATTTTCTGCACTATAGGTCAAATACTTTAAAAAATCGCTTATTTCATCTTATTCGCATTGAATAGTCAGATACAACAAATTTTTCATAATTGAGAAATGGCAATAATGTAACGGTTTGCCTTAAATGTAAAAGAATCATGTAGAGTAAATGCAAATGTTTAATATTTATGTTTAAAGATAGAGGAATATTTGACAAATTTGAAGTAAATGAAATTTCAATATGAAACATGACCTCTTCAAAGCTCTTGAGGTTGACATAAACTTATTTTGCAGAAATTATATTTTTTCTTTTTCAGGTTTATTTTTGTTAGAACATTTAAAAAATATGTACTTAATTATTTCATGTTTGTAAACAAGAATGATGAGAATAGAGAATGTAGCTCTCCTTTGATATATAAAAAAAAAACTTGTATTTCTTTCAAAGATAATTACATAATTGTACAGGATACGTCACAAACATAGACATAAAAAAAAGATACATTTACAGATAATACACCACATTGCTTTCTTCCTTGTAAAAATATGTTGTGGGCGTCACAACACTGTTTTTACAAATTCTATGTTGTGGTTTTATAGTAATTTGAATCATTATGAATATTACTACCAGCCAAATTTCTACATGATAAATTCATTACCTGAACTATCATTTTATCTAATTTCAAAACCTGTCCTAATTACCAAATTCCTCTTTGCAAACTGAATTCAATAAAGGGGAATGATTCAAATATATTTGGTCATTGAGCAATAATCCCGAATTTTTACATCTAGTGATTTCTAAACATTCTAAAAGGTAAAATTTCGAACGTTTCTCTTCCAAATGCAATTCGTCATATTCATGGTTAAACTTTCAAAAGATGTTTAACAAATATTGAATTGGTCTTTCCATTCAAAAAACTACTTCAATGTTCTTTTATTCTTTTGGAAAAAGTTCTTCCGGTTTGTCCGATATAAAATTTTGGACACGAACCACAAGCCAACTTATATGATCCCGATCTATCCAACACTGAAGTTTTGTCTCAACTGTTTTTATTGTGATGTAAACTTTCCAATGGAAATCTTACATTAAATGTTTTTTGAATACGTGTTTTCCTTGCTTCGGAAGTTTTCCACAATTTTTTTTATAGAGATGGAATGTGATCTAAAATGAATCTGCCCTTAGGCATAAAAAACTCACCTTTGGTTCTTTTACTGGTTTCCCATTTCCAAACAGGAGTGAAGTCTGACTGGCATTGGCTACATGCCACCGGTTGGGGCGGCATTGGCATTTTCGTTTCTTTGGTGAGAAAATCAACAACGTGTTCCAATCCTACCAAGTAAATGAATTCCGTATTGCTTGGATTTGGTATGAAATGCATTTCTGGAGGTGGGGGCTTTGGAGGAGGAATCTAGAAATAACAGTACTATAAAAATACCATCTATATTAGAAAACAAGTATCAAAAGACGAGAAAACTGTTAAACTCTGAAGACCACGACAGATATTGGTATCTGAAATGTTATGATTGTGGAAATTGATAATCTTGAATTTTTATTTCCAATGGGGAATGTTCCTCAACATTTAAAGGGATTCGTTTCTATTTCACCATTTGGCAACATCGGTTATAGCTAATGAAGGACAATGAATCTGTTACCTGAATGAGACAACCAAAGATGACATATTTCAGAGGCGTGCTGTTCTGTTTACTTATGTTCCAAGTTCTGAGACATTCTGTACACCTAACCTACCTTCCTCTATATAAATAAATAACAAAACAACTGTTGTTTATGTGGTTTGTGGAGGTGGTATTGAACTATAATTTAAATTTTGCCTTAATTGTTGATTTATAAAGATAACTTTCCTTTTTTAAAGTAGAATATCTAGGTTTGTATAATGTATTTCAACTTGATATAGGCGCTGTTGCCAATATGTGAATTAGAAACAAATCCCTTTAAAAATTAAAACCCAACATTTAAAACATCAATTTGAATACTTTTCAAAGTGAATTTGAAAAACTCATGAATTCAACTCAACTTTATTTTGTTCAAACTTGCATTTGCTTTAATAACCCAAATTGAGGAACTTTCCCCTTATGTATGCTAGAAATTGCATAATCCTCAGCTCACACAAGTTTCGATTTCAACAACTTCAGCATAAGGGGAAGCCAGTGATTAACAGAAAAAGTAATTTTTTCAAGAGTATTTATTATATTACACTAGTTAATATTAATTTCAAGTTCCTCTTGAACCTTTAGTGTAATTTCAATATAGAGGAGGAATCTTAAATGATGTCATTCATTAATTACAGGCGGTTATTACTTGTCATATTTCATGAAAAAACTTCATATAAACGTGTATCCTAACTTGTTCCGTTTTCGATTAACAGGCTGTTTCAGTTTTACTAAAAAAAATTCTTTCATCAATAACGAGCAATCATTTTCGCTGATTTTGATTAAACTACATGTGTTTGTTATAAGTAATAACGGCCATTTTTTCATGAAATCAGGTTAGAAATTTTGATTCCAGTGGTATCAAAGAGAGTTACTGGACTGATATTTATGGTAAAAAAACATTGTACGCCAATGTTTTCGCAAGTTTGATATTATTTGAAATAGCTAAACTTTATTGAATCAGAGCCAGTGGCATTGAATTGGGGATTACGCATCATGAAAGTTGAAAAATGTGTTTTGATATTCGACGCCATTTGGACAAATTTTGAAATGAAAATCAGTTTGGATTGTAGATGGAAGACATAATCAAAATTCTAGTTAATTCATTCATAGTTCATTCGAAGAACAGCATAGATAATAAAGAAAAATTATTATATCAGATGTTCAAAATGAGAACCTTGACTTGCGATACAAGCATGAAGACTTCTCATCATCGAGTGCCGCACACGTTCATAAATTCCTGGGGTGTTGCGTATGATATTAGAATTACGCATAAATCTATTTCTCAAGTTATTTTCATCGACAACTGGTGTCGTATAAACAAGTGATTCAAGATATTCCCAAAATAAATAATTCACAGGGTTAAAGTCTGGAGATCTAGGTGACCATGGTTGAGGTGCCCCATGACCCCCAAGATAGTCATGAGCGGATACACTGAAATGAGCAGGTGCCTGCCGTGCATAAACCACATAGTTTGTCTGCTTGGCTTACTAGCAAAGGTACTTTCTCTAACAATTCTGGCAATGTGTCTGCCAGAAGTTGTGTATATTTTCAATTTAGTACATTTGCAAAAAAAAAATTAACTTCAAATTTTTTTTATTAATTGTTCAATCTGATGGAGGTATCAAACTTGGAGAAAAACAGTGGCGTACAATGACTTTCACCATAAATATCAATTAGATAACCCTTTGTGACGCCACTGTAATCATTATCCGTAATCTAATTTCATGAAATTCCTCGTTAGAGGCACCTAATTTTATTGAAATTGGCGAAAAAATTTTTGAGTTGTTAACAGGTTGACTGCCGACCATATTTTTGAGATACTCTCGGATGCAGTTACGTTTCATTTGTTTTTTTTGCAATTCGTGTTGTCAATTATAAGTCTGAAAAAATCTATAGGTCTAGGTCTGCCTCTGCCCGGAATCGCTCTTGATTTTTTTTTAATGTAAACATTTTCAATGTATCTGTTTTTGTCCAGTTGAATTTCTTTTGCGCATTCGTCAAAGCTGAATTTGTATTTACAACGGAAACTGGAATATTTCCTAACAACTGGGTATCACCATGTGCATCTGAATCACTTTCTGATTCGGAGTGATATTCGTCTTCAGACTCTGCCAAATATTCGTCACCACTGCTATCTTCTAAACACTGCAATAATTCTTCATCTGTGAGGATATCCTACTGTACACATGTAAATTACGTTCTTTTTTCTGCAATCCAGAAAGTCCAGGTTTGGCGTCCATGTTTGACGACACAAAAAATAAAAACTGCATAACCAACTATAACTAGTGCTCAACAAATGTTTTTAAAACGACACCAGTGCAGCTAAAACTTCCTCTAACCAACGCCGAATGAATACTGATCTTTACAGGTTAGGCATACACAACACTCCGATGGGAGTGGGTGGCATCGCAGATTGATGCCCATATACTATGATCGGAGTGGTTGGTGCTCAACCTATTAATAAAAGATCAATATTTTTAGTACTTTGACTCCCCTTTATTCAGAAATGAAGCCAGTTATGACACACGTTCATTTGAACTTTGTTTCATAAAATATGACAAGTAATCACCACCTGAAATTGATGACATCATTCAGGATACAATTTGTGATATTGATGACTTATTTATTTTGTGGAAATTCATCTTCAATTGAATGATATAAATAAAATACTTTGTCTAATTTCCACTTACTTAATGTATTGATATTAATATGACCAAGGTTTCGGTTTTTACACAAATACTTGAGAATGGTGTAAAAACCGAAACCTTGGTCGTATTAATATCAATTCATTAAGTGGGTGGAAATTAGACAAAGTATTTTATCTATATCATTTAATTCAGGATACACCCTGTATAAAAACTATTTTAAATAACACTTTGTGAAAGATAAACAGAACTTTCAAATTCAAATTTTTCAGGTTATTTCACTCATTGAAATGACAACAGTTATACAATAATATCTAATGATGAATCAGAATGTTATTATGATGGCAACATACGTTGAAATATTCAAGATAACTTTGAATAATTGGACAATTTCCACTCAAATGTTTGTAGACTTGAAGAGTTTTTATTCCAAATGGCAAATTGTTAAGATTGCGTACTATATCGATCAAATCAAATCAAAATACACTTTGTCAGAAGATTTTGTATCCCATCGACAAAGATTTGTAGGTATAAATATAAGCATAACCAATGGTGTATAGATAAAAACTGGCAATTAATAAAGGTTTGAATAAAACAGGTACAAATACAATGAAAATTAATATAAAATGGAATACACGTTTTAAAATGATTCATTAAAATATTCTTGCAAGCTATAATAGGGTCTATCAGCTAGCAAATTTCTAACTACTTTCTTGAATTGTACGTTGGTCATATTTGGAGACCTTTTATCTACTGGTAAGTGATTGAATAATTTGGATATATACGTAAGAAACGTTTCCAAACTGGCCCCAATTCCACAGTAAAGCCGTTTTATGATTTCAAAAACCTTGGCGAGTTTTTCAAATTTGAAAGTGTTCATCTTCTACGAGGTCACCAGGCATTTCTTTACCATCTCAAGACCAAGTTTAGGTTTACACTGCAGATTATATTATAGCATACTAATAAAATTTCTCAGATGACTACAACCTACCTGTAACAGTGTTTTCTCCAGTTGTTTCCGAAGAGCTAACTTAGCAGCAGCTTGTCTTTGAGCGGGGGTTTGATTATCTTCTCTAGATCTCTCCTAAAAGCCAGAAAAATCAGGTCAAAACTAAATTTCTTTGGGAGATGGCATTACTCGTAAAAATCTATGCGAACAGAAATTATCGAGTTATGAATTAGCATATTTTTTTGAATTACCTCTGGAACTACATTAGGTGGTATATTTCCAGGAATGATTAATCCTTTGTTATCGACTCCGCTGATAGTCTAGCAGCATTTAAAAAACATATGAATGCAGAATAAACTCAAATATATCGTTAATTAAAGATACAATATCGAAATTGAATTGGGCAGAATCAAATATACTTCAACACTATCAAAATAGGGAATAAAAGAAATAGTAACTGCAATGTATAATTAATTGTTCCTGTATCAAACTTTGGGATAATTGCTTGAATTAACAGTAGATAATAATTTCGAAATTATGAAAAATAAGGTTTAGAAATCCAAAAAAAAATACTTCTGTGTAATCCAATAGAAAAAAAAGTGTCAAGAATGTATTTGTTTTAAATTATATTTCCCACTTTTGAATTATCCTAAACATCAGAGCTTATGATCTAGATCTCTCTAAGGTATCTCGTATATACGCTTTCCAGGAACTAAATTATAAATAGGGACGAAGAGAAAAAAATGCTATGGAAATTAGTGATTAACACTTTAAGGGAAGAGGGAAAGATGGCAGAAAAGGAAGACACAAATAAAACGGGAACATATTTCGTCTTCTACCGAGATCTGTTTCAAAATGCATATGCAGATATTACTCTACGTACCTTCACAGACGGAGGAGGAGCTGGCGTTATAGTAACTGAAGGAGACAAGTCTTTGACTGCTGGAGGGAAACCTGTCGGTCGACAGATGGACGTTCTTTGGGGAGGTTGAGGAACTGAGAGGCTGGCTCTGTTGTTGACAGGAGAAGCGCTAAGAGGCGGACCATGCATGTTCGCACGGGGTGGGGCAGGTTGTTGCTGTAAATAATAATCAATTTAAAACATCAAGTTTGCCAATAACATGATATAAAAATTAAGATTCAATTAGAGTTAAGCAAATCAACTTGAAATTATTTGAAAAATTACTATGACTAAAATTTCAATTCTTTGATATAGCTTGGAGGGAAAAGTTTTATCTATATGAAACAATAGTTTTTGCTAATCATTTCGCTTTTATAGGTGTTATACTTATGTTAGGGAGGCAAGTTTATATGCTGTATCTTGTAAAACTTCAGTGATGAATAAACATATCTATCTATCTATCTATCTTATACTTATAACATAAGGTGATTATAACAAAAACACTTTTCAGAGTGTCTCAATATTATCAAAGTCTAAGTGAAAATATTTTGAGGTATTTACATGTATATGTAAATTTGTAATTGTTGACATGTCCTTGTTTAATTTAACGATGTAACTGAAATATTGACGTTTTTAATCATTTATGTAACCTTCGTGCATTCAAATGATAAAATAAAGGAATATTAATATAAGGTTCAATATAACCCCAGTGTTTATGTTGTTGATAAAAGTTACACATGAGTGTCAGAGAATTTTGAAACACAAAAATTGGTGATTTGATGCATTGTTACAAAAATCCTACATGTTATCATGATAGCAGAAGCTAGAAGATAGCATTTACTTGAAATATCCTGTATCAGACAACAAACGAAAAAAAAGGACTGAAATAGTTGGTAAATGAAGCATTGGGTTTTCTCTGTTGATAAAAGATAATATAAGTAGGAAATGGTTGAAAAAAGAACAATTTTTTAATATCAGTTGTTGCCTTCTCTAGCTTGGAAAATAGCTTCCATTCTCCGAGGTATTCAGCAAATTAGCGTTCAAATATAATCAATTAATCAATCAATATGCTTTATGGTCGAAAGAAACAAGTCTTATTGATAAAGTCATTGTAGAAGTGAAATAAAACAAAATAGAAGTATTACAGGATACAATAGACAATATAAAATGCATAAAAACAGAAATATTTAGATACAAAAGGAATTCAGTTCTTAAAATATTATCTCGTAACATAAAATTCCTCCAATGTATGAAAGGCATAGTCTAAAAGTAGCTCCTTTACGGCATTCCTAAATTTGGAATGTACAGATAAGGAAGCACAACTATTGGCAAGTGATTGAACATTTTTTTGGTGTTGTATGTTACAGAGTTCTTCATCATTGAGCTTCTGGAAATAGGTAAGGGGATCACTTGGATAATATGCCTTGTATTACATCAGAAATCTGAATTGATTGCATGACGAAATTTTTTGTAAATCGAGCATACACACTCCAAGATAAATATATATGTCAATGTCATGATTCTGTGGTGTTCAAAGATAGGTTTACAGGGCAAAGCAACCAGAAGCTAATTTCTCCTGAAGCAATACTCCTGAAACATGTTAATCCACTTCTTCATAATCGCAACAAAAAGTTCATTTTTGTTCGTAGGTGGTCTTTTGCGACTTCTTACAAGTCTATCATATTCCCAGATATGCTCAATGGGATTTGCATCCAAATGTTTAATTGTTGCTTGTAACGAATATGCAGAGAAATGCAATGATTAATTGCATAATTCATGAATTTGAAACAAATCGTGATTCCAAAATGAATGGAGAAACAATGTAAAAAATGGTTTTGGGTGTCATACACAGGGTGTATCAAGCCTATACGATAGAAATATAATCACTGATGATAAAGCTACTGTGTTATCGAAACATGCCGTGATATATTTTTTAAATAAAGTTTGTGGAGATCAAATCGTAAGGTGTAGTTTATGAAAATAGAAATATAACTTTGTTTTTACTCATATAATGTGTATTCATTGGGACTCATTAGGAAATCTGTTAGATGTGAATTAATGTGGGATATCACTCCTTTTATTCACTAACTGAATACATTGAGTTGAAATTGAGACAAATTTTCCACACTTTTAATTTGTTGGCATCCAAGTTTCGACTTATATTTGTATATGTATGCTAAATCAATTATTTAATGTTTTATGTGTGAATACCTGACTATTCAAACTATTATATTTATCTTATTTGTGTGACTACCATTGGACTTATCTCATGTCGTGTCAATTATTTATGGAGATTAATAAAATTATCTATCTATCTTTCTATCAAAATCGGGCTAGAAATAAAAAAGTTATTCAAAATCAAAACTTGTTAACACTTCAAGGTGGCCGGTTTTTGTGCACCTGCGGGTAATTAAGGTTGATAAATATTATCGACAATATTATGATAGAAGTTATCACGCAAAGCAAAGATGAACAAGACAAAAGACATACCGCTCGCATTATATTCGGGGTGTTACCGTTCCCCTGCAGAATACCGCCCATGCCGCCAATTTTGTGCGACGAATTTGATACCGGATGACGAGAGTGTGCGATCTGCGGCGATTGCTGGCCCTTCGGAGGTACTTTGACGGTCGTCGGGGTTATGCTCAGGCCGCTGGGTAGGCCGGTAGGGGGCAGAGCTGATGGCGGTATACTCGGCGGTATGACGGCGACGTTTTCTTTCAGCTGCTGCGACTGCTTGAGCTTTTTCAAGAGGACCAATTTCATTTCTTCGGCTCGAAGTTCTTCTCGAAGCCTCCTCAAGCCTCTTTCCCTGCGAAACAATAAATAAAAAATGAAAGTATTTTATTATCCTGCACGGAACTAACTAACCAGGTTAGTTTCTAATGTTTATCTTTAATATCTGTATAAAAGAAAGTATATTTCCATCTTCCTTAAAAATTGCAAAAGTGATTCCTGTTTATAAAAAAAAAGTTTCAGTTTATGACAGAAATAACTATAGACCTATTTCCCTTCTAACAATATTTTCAAAACTGCTAGAGTCGATGATGATGGATCAAATTATGAATTATTTTGAGGTTAATGATTTGTTGTGGGTTATCACACACTGTATTGAACGGCTGGGAGCAAGGACTTAATACATATGCTTCTCTATTCAACCTGACAAAGACTTTTGATTGTCTCAACTGACAAATGACTGATAAACTAAAGTTCAACAACTTTTATTCTGATAATATAGCCTTTCTTAGGTCCTACCTAACAGAACGCTCTCAGTATGTTCTATATGATGGTGACTCTTCAGATGGTATGCGGTTGCATCATGGAGTTCCACAGGGCTCAGTTTTAGGGCCTCTACTCTTCTTGATCTACATAAATGATCTGAAAGTCAATATAGCTGGCTCAAAACTCATACTATTTGCTAATGACACCACTCATCTGCAAGTATATCACCCATCAGAATAAATTCAAGAAATTGTAGCTGAGAGAAAGAATGAAATAATAGAATAATTCTTAGCAAAGAAACTTTCTCTTAACTAAACCAAGACCCAAAATATCAACTTTTCTCTCAAACCTGCATCCAGATCTGCCAAGAAGTGATGAGGTGAATCTTCTTGGAATAATTATTGACAACATGGAAAAGAAACGTAATTCAAGCTCTCGAAAATTACATATTTGATAAGATCACTTGTTAAAACTGTATCTAGAGGAACTATAATGTCAGGTTATTACAGTTATTTTTATTCAAACATGACATCATATGCTGTGCCGAGTTGGGGTCACTCTTCCCATTCAAAAAAAAAGTTTAGGCTAGAAAGGAGATGCATCCGTATTATTATGAATCTCAAATATCGCCAGTGCTGCAGACATTGTATTCCTGAGCTTAAAACACGCGTAAGGAGACTTGTTTACTTTACCCAATAGATGCAAATGTGCATGGTAATCATGCTTTGATCACGCATCTATTTTTGTTCGGGTTGTTTTTTTTTTGTTGAATGGATATTGTTTAGGTATATTCATGATAAAAATTTACAATTTTCACAATGAATTTGATTTGATTTTTATGGAAGAAACTACAATGATTTATGAAAATAGCTGACAGAACTTTGTTTTTGTTTTACCGTTCATCTTATATCCAATATTTCCAAAATGCTGTATCTGGACGATGAAATTTCCTATTTACACTTAGCAAATTGACAAATTTATTCAATCACAACTCAAATTACAACTCAAGTCATCAAAAAAATATTAATATTTCAGAATGATAAATTTTGGTTTTGATATCATTCACAAAAATAAAGAATAGAAATGGTTCTAAATGGCTTCCTAGCAGTACACCCACTGACAGTGATTTCGTGAAATATAAATCCAACTGTGAATTTGCTATGACTTGCCATAAATGTATAAACTACATAATCTGGTCAAATAAACTACTACTACTACATAGAGAATCATTAAATAGAACTACAACAGTTCGGGCAAATAAATTTTACTAGTTCGGAATTCTATTGTCTAATATGATTCAAATATCTGTGATTCCTAACACGGGTTGGAAGATAGAAAGTGAAAATCGTTTGTTCAGCCTGGAGCTTGAACCATCGACCAACACCGCGGTCGATTTGAGCGAGTGAACAAAGCACCCACGTCGAACTGACCAGCTACCGACCAATTTGAAATCTTTGACAAAACAAATAAAATTCAAATGAATAGTTAAAATCATACTAGACAATGGAAGTCCGAACTAGTATAAAATCTGTGTGTATGTCCATCTACTAACTGTTTATTCTCCAAAGCATTCAAACTGATATTTGTTAGTCTACTCAATTATAACCTGATAGTCCGGTCAAATTAGACTAAAAAATAAGAGTGAAGGTAAATAAATTTACAACAAGCTGCAAATGCGTGTAATTATTCAAAACAAGTTAAAAATGAGATTTTAAAATTCCGGGCGATTCCGATGCCTGGAAAGAAACTTATTTGAGGTCATAGGTCAAAAATCTCGAAAAAAATTGGTTTTTCGCGATTTTCAGGAAAACGGTAAATTTTATCATAAAATAACCTCAGATAAAAATTTGTAGATCATAAAATTCTCTACAAAAAATGTATCAATACTTTTTTTTCTTAGAGCCACCGTTTCTGAAATACGACGAGTCATAAAGTTGTAAAAGTTGTAATTGTCATTATATGCATAAGTATGCCATGTATATGTTGGAGGATAAGTTTATTGGCGAAAATATATTGGTTAAACAGGCTAATAACGATGCCGACGTATTGATTATTGAAACAGCTATAGAGCAATTTAATTTGACAAATAAAACTATTGTTGTTGGTGAAGATGTAGACTTACTCGTACTTCTTACTGCTTGAACTCCACCTGAAAAAACTATTTTCTTTCTAAAGCCAGGAGAAGCTCAAAGTCAAACCAAAATATATTCGTCAAAAAGTTTATCTACTTTTGCAAAGGGTCAAAATTATGTACTATTTTTACACGCAATAACTGGCTGTGATACGACGTCTGCATTTTACAGGAGGGGTAAAGCAACAGTCTTTAAAATGTTTGAAAAACAAGATTTAGTTCAATGTGCTGAAGTTTTCAAAAAAAGTAATTCGACTCAACAAGAAATTATCNCCGGATTATGATTGCTGAAATTCGAATCTGCTGTATTTGCCAGAGACTTGAAAGAAATGATCAAGTCAGACGACTCCCAAATAGAAAACAAAAAACTAGATGACATACGCAATAAAGAACCTCTCTCCGTAACCTCACCTATGCTTCATCTCAGCTGCGCTGATCTCCTTGATGGGCACCAGAGGCGGCATTTCTCCCTCGCTCGAGTCGCTGCCGTAGTCCAAATTACCGTTCGTCTTCAACACCTCCAGAGAGCCGTTGATCACCACGTCAGGGCTCTCGACGTATGAGCGAGGTTCGATGCGTGGTCTGAGGATCCGCCTCGAGTTCGAAACGTGGTGCTGCACCACCACAGGAGGTGCTGATATGGCGGGGAGGTGGTCCGGTGGAACGGGATGGTTAAAGTTCAACTGATTATATGCAGGAGGTGTCGAGGAGATTCTGTTGTTAGAACTGAAACATTAACAACATTTTTATTAGTACAATAGTCGCATGTTAAAGCAAAAAAAAACAATTTGTTTGAAGGCGGTTGATAATGTTTCGTGTTGCAATTCATTAGTCCGGACTTCCATTGTCTAATATGATATAAAATGATTTGAAATCCCTGAAAGAATCTACAATTAAAAAAGATTAGCTGAAATATAACAATCATATTAGTCAAAAAAACTGAAATTACAATGAGATAAAATACAAACAACCAAAAAACAAAAGAATTGAACTATTTACACAATCGTCTTCGGGTGATAACTGGACTTATTCCTCCGAAATCTGACTATTTATAGGTCATTCGAGTGCTTTCTCCTATCTCCTCTTCCCTATCTACGCTTCATCGGTTTTAGCGTTTGGCGGGAGTTGGTCGTGTTCCGCTTAATTAGAGGTTTCCATATGTTGCGTATCTCTACGCTGTGTGTGTTTCTTGTATTTGGCAATGCGAACTTTCAATGGCCTCTTAGTTTCACCGATGTATAATTCCGCACTCAGAGTATCCGGTAAATTGAATGTTTGGAATCGCAGTCCGCGTTTGGTGGCCTGGTTTTCGTGAGGCTGCTACGGATAGTGTTCCCAAATCTGAAACAGGTTCTGATGTTATACTTGAACCCAATCCTTCTTATCCTTTCCGACAATTCTATGATGTAGGGAAGTACAAGTACTGTTTGTGGCGGTTTCTCTTCCTTGTGGGGCTCTTGCTGTCTTC